CGTCGTCCCCTGTGGGTCAGCGCACTGGTGGCAGATGAGCTCCTCACTCAACTTTACAAAGTTTAGACGCATCTGACGCGGAGTCCCCTATGGATCATTGCCTCGGTCGCTGTGTTCCCTCCTAAGTTTTAAAAAGTTTTAGCCATCTCCCAACGCGTCGTCCCCTGTGGGTCAGCGTACCGGTGGCAGATGATCTCTTTACTCAACTTTACAAAGTTTAGACGTACCTGACTCGGAGTCCCCTGTGGATTGTCGCCTCGATCACTGAGTTCCCTCCTAAGCTTTACAAAGTTTTAGCCATCTCCCGACGCGTCGTCCCCTGTGGGTCAGCGCACCGATGGTAGATGAGCTCTTCACTCAACTTTACAAAGCTTAGACGCACCTGACGTGGATTCCCCTATGGGTCATCGCCTCGGTCGCTATGTTTCCTCCTAAACTTTACAAAGTTTTAGCCATCTCCCAACGCGTTGTCCCTTGTGGGTCAGCGCACCGATGGCAGATGAGCTCCTCACTCAACTTTACAAAGCTTAGACGCACCTGACGCAGATTCTCTTGTAGGTTGTCGCCTCGGTCGCTGCGTTCCCTCCTAAATTTTGCAAAGTTTTAGCCATCTCTTAACGCATCGTCCCCTATGGGTTAGCTCACCTGTGACAGTTGAGCTCCTCACTCAACTATACAAAATTTAGACGCACCTGACGCGGACTCCCCTGTGGGTCATCGCCTCGGTCGCTGCGTTGACCTTCTTCTTACGCATCATCCAGCCTTGCATCACTTCAGTCTCAACATAAGTAATTGTTTTCCTTACGCAGTAGCAAAGCTTTAGAGCGTCTGCCTAAGATCATCACTTCGGCGAATGCAAAAGATTGGCTCACAAACTCCCACAAGTCACGGTCCATGTACTGAGGCATACACATCCGGTCAGGGAGGCAAGTCCACCAATGATATAAATATTCATACCTGGACTTGGGGGACCACTGTTACGCCCCTATCTGAAACACCTCGGAATGTCCACCTCCAAGTACTCTGATCTGATAGACACCCACCCGAAGTGGTTCCGAAGTGATCTCCCAATGTTAATGACCTGCTATCACACTGCGAGATATAGGTAATCCTGCTGAACTAACCGAAGCGACCTCGCTCATGACGCTGAGGCTAAGTGCACTCCGGGAACCTCTGTCAGAAGATCCGCCGCCAATCTCAGAAGGAGATCTTTTCCAAGATCCTTTCCGCGCCTAATGTTTAAATTGATTTGACGTCTGCATGAGGGTAGTTGATGTGACTTATTGACTTTATGTCAACTAAACTCGGGAGAAACAATTACCCGCACACTCTACAGACGCGACTGATTGATACCTATGAGCAGACACCTCATACCGTCAGATGCATACACGTGCCCCACATCCAACAGTTCATCCCACCTTTAAATACCTAAGGGTTGGCAAGAGACAGAGGTAATGAAACTCTTACTACATAGCACTCCATAGCAAGTATATATATTTTCTCCTTCCCTTATTATTTTGCACAACCCCTTGATACTGTTCCGACCACCTGAACCTGACTTGATCGTCGGAGTGTATACAGCTATCACCACACCACTGGTCCCGGTCGTGTGCGTCTGACCGTGCGTTGATTGTGCGCGGGAAGGAATACGTGGAGTAACTCTCGATTGGCCACGTGGAAGGTCCAATTTTCAAGGTCAACATACATCAATTTTAGTTATTCACAATCATTAATGATACTTCTCTAGTACTAGTTTTATCGTTTGGTAAACTATCAATTCTATTCTTTCATAATGGAAAAATTTACACTCAGGTAGAATATATGATCTTAATTTTCTTGACAGCTTATTTATTTCCTTGAAATAATATGGTGGAACAAAATATTTTTAACCAATCTTGCTCAAAAATATTAAAAACATTCACACTAAATTGTCAAATATAGCTCGACTAGAGCAAACACACAAGAAATAAATAAATTTTGCACCAATAATTTGTATCAACATTCCAAAGTTACAAATAAGTAGATATATAGGAAAGAAAATTGAGTGCTAGTTGACAACCACTAATTTATTTTATGGTTTGTTACATAATCATCATCAATTATACATTTACACAATAAAATATTTTAAGCATATATCAAAAACTTTTTTCTACTTTTTTACCACACGTTTTCTTAAAAATTACTATTCAAAACTCATTTTTCTACAATAATGGTTGTCAAACAGGCTCCGAGATTACCACAAATATTAACAATGATTAAAGTATTGTTGACTAATTGACAAAGACTTATTTTAAATTTGATTTCATTTGGTGCAAAAATAAGAGGGATAACTAGGCTGCACACAAAAAAAATCTGTAAAGGACCTGTGATTTTTTTCCTTCAAACCAAACAAAACTGATTCAAAATAATTTGTTTTAAGTTTCAACTTTCAAAAATATCACAAAACCAAACCAAACCATTTTTAGATTTTTTTAATTAAAACATTAATTTTATTAACTTATAGATTTTATAATTTTCACTTTTAAGAGAAAATAACAATTTAGCAATACAAATTACAATCAGCCTATTAATTAATCATAAAAATTAAATTAGGTTCATCATTATTGTCCTATGATTTAACAAGTTCACACATACATGTTCTCATCCTATATCTAAACTAAACTAAATTTATTCTCAAACCATATGAAATGAAAAAAAAAAAACATATATTTTCGACAATTCAAATCATAATCCAACAAAACTACAACAACAAATTACGTCCAAAGTTTCAGAAACCCTAACATAAATTCTTATTTCCCAAATATTTGACGCTTCTCTCCCACTGGTGATGAATCGCTTATCGTCTTTTGGCTGTTAATCTGCAAATTTCTACTTGAATCATCTTTTTCTCTTTTCTCTCTCGGTAGCTCTCAAATTCTCATTGAAGCCATTTCCCATTATTTTTTTGAACTTATTATACACTCCTAAATTATGGTTTGTATAGAAAAATGACTATTTGTGTGCCTAGATAATTAATAAATTTGTCCGTGGTTTGAAAAAAAGAAGGACGAAGCATATTGATTGTATGAAAAATGTTAAAATTTCCTAATTGTTACTACTACATTCTACTTTTATAAGTAATTAGAGGATGCAATTTGTCAATTCCCAATAAGCATAAAATTCTATCAATCTTTATACATTTAAATATATCATGTGTCAATCCTTATTTATCATCTCAATGACAAGACGAAAGTAGTTTTAACCAAACTATAATAGTAGAATGTGATTTTACTTTTACCAACTGTTATGTGACAATATGAAAGTCAAACAAGAAAATGTAAATAAAAATGAAAAAAGATATATTTGTTTTATTAAAATTTTTTAGCAACTAGATTTGAAAATAATTTATTAATGTGTTTCATGATAAATATGAATGTAATTCAACATTTAACATTTTTTGTTCTCTTTTAAACTTATATATTAATTTGTTTTAAATATATTACTATAATATTGATAGGTAAACCGTGGATTAAAACTAAACAAAATTGCAAATTATGGTTTGGTTTTGTTCGAAAAGTAAAATGGTTTGGTTTGGTTCCAAACCGCATGAAATTGTTTGAATTGAAAATACGGCACAGACTGCCCAAACATAACCGCATTTGCCCCTAGGGATAATTGTAACTGCAATCTCAAATCTTTCGCTTTTTAAATATATTTTACTCGAATATTTCATTTATGCCATCCACGATTTCAAATCTTTTATTTTGTTATAGTACAAGGACAAATGAGAGGATTTCGTTAACAAGACTAGGCCTGGGCAAAAAGAAAAAACGAAAAACTGACAAAACAATGAAATCGAACTCACTCAGGTCGGTTTAACACAGGTAATTTGTTTGGTTTCATTTTTTTAAATAAAATCATGGTGGGTTAGTTTAGTTATGATTTGAAGTTTTAAACCTTTGGTTAATCAAACCAACCCAACACACTTACATGTTTACCTTTTTTTCTTAATATAAGAAAAGATAAAAATCAAAAGATAAGTCATAATCTTATAACTACATTTGACTCCCTCCAATTTATGATGTCGTCGATGAGTAATAGTATTGAAATTTTCGTTTCTTACGCTCATTATGCCCCCATTTGAGCCACATTATTGTGAAATGAGAATGAAAAATATAGTTGCTATGGACCCACAGAAGAGATAAAAAGTCAAATATAGTGACTTGATATGATGAATAACGATCATATTTTTCATTTTAATGAGAAAATAATATGGCTCAAATAGGGTATATGTTATACCTAGCATTTTTCCTACTTAGACGGTCAGACTACATAATACATAAAAAAACAAAAAAATTAAGTTTTTTATTGACCCGTCTCTATTAGCCTGAATTTATTTATTAATCAATAATTACTAAAATATAAAATTATTTGATTAATTTAGCTTTTGTAATCTAAGTGGGCCTAAAGACTCGAACAATTTTCTTTAAAAAAATTCAAAAATGTATTTTTTTGGGGCAAGAATAGGACTCAAACAAGGGCTAAATGCCAAATCCAATTGGTCTAGCAACCACGCTAATAATAGCTTTTACGGTTTATTTATAGATAGTGTTTGAACCTTATTTTTATGGAAAAATAAATTTTAGATTAGTAGATTAAAAGAGAATGTGTAGATGAAAAATAAGAATTTTTTTTTAATTTATGTATAATATTATTTTAATAAAAAATGTGCAGTTAAAAGAAAAAAAAAGAGGAAATTGTACTTTGATAAAAATGAGAATAAGTTCCTGTCTGGCCCCCATTTTTTAAAAATGAAAATGGGTGGAATAATATTTTCTTTGAAAAATGAGTGATTGAAAAATATTCAAAAGTTTTCGATTTACGTATAATATTATTTTATGAAAAATTCTATAGTTAAAAATAAAAAAAATAAAATAAAATGTAATTCAATCAGATTCAAACATGGCTAAATAGGTCTATAATGTGAAAATGACCCTTTTTCGTAATTAACAAACCTCTCAAGCTTAGACAATACTCTTCCTGCCTTTTCACGCACCAAACGCCCCGAATTTTTCGATAAATCTTTATGACTACGCACTTATATTTGATTCAATTCCAGTGGAAGCTGACGCAGGTTATCTTTTGACCTTTTGATATCTGAATAATTGATACGCATTAATGTTTCTATCATAGCAAAGAACGGAGCTTTGATTAGAAATTCAGAATTTACGGTGTTTCTCCCGAAGATTTCAGGTTTTGGGGGACTTGGGGTTTCTTTTTATCTGTATTGAAATAAGAAAACCCGTGTCTGAATATTTTCAACAGTAATGGCATCAAATTAACCACAGAATCAAAGATGACAAGGTTTCTGGGTGGTTTTGCATTGCCTCTGCTGCTCTTGACAGGTATGAACTTGAAAATCATGTTGAAAAGGATTACTTCTTGCTGTTGCTTCTATTTGGATTTAAAGATAATTTCTTTTGAAGATTTTATTTTGTCTCTACTTTCTGTAAGTCAAGTAATCTTGCAACATCACTCATCACTTGGGATCACCCGGATGTCTTATAATGGTTATTCACTAGGAACTTCAGAAGAATGCGAAGGAACAAAACAGCCTCTTTGTTCTGAATTAATTCAACAAATGTCTTTCTGTTAGTTTGGCTATGTAGGTTGGTTCCATGCATCATCAATGGGGTGGCCAATCATTGTGTGCTCTTCAGGTTTCATAACTTGGGCATTCGTTGCTAGTGATTTCCTCTGTTGTAAGTATGAGAGAAGTACAGGCACCCTACGGTCAAGTAGTAACTGAGGGCTTTCACTAGAAGCACCTGCTGCCATCAGTTAGTGGCTGAACTATCATAATGGAAAATATTGATTCTTTATAGCCTATGTGCTGAAACTATTTTCACCCTCAAACACGAGAATTCTGTGCCAATTTGAGAAAAAGAATTAAAAGAGGAGATAAGGAATTATCTGCAAAGTTGAAGGATAAACTTTTCACTAAGGTATTATTAATTAGACCAATGTTTGAGTCCAGTGCAAACATATACTGAGATTCTTAAAGATTCTCTTGATTTCAACCTCAAAAGAATATTGACCAATATTGTATTCTTACTAAAAATATGGCCATTACCTATGTTTTGCACATTCATAGATATTGCATAGAAGGCCCCAATGCGTTATTGATTCTATTTTATGAGTTTCTCTACTGCCAAAAGTCTTCACCTGTTTTTGCTAGAAAGTTTGGTTTTGAGAGAACAATTGATGGACTTGATACAAAAGAGATATATTGAAGAAAGAGGTTGGAATTTTTAGTGGGAAGCTCAGGGCATTAGAATGAACGTGGTAAGTTTTGCTGTCAAAAATATACTTTTGATAGGAGTTGTAAGTTTTCTTGGATAGTAAAAATAACAACTCTTAGCCCCTGTTCGGTCTCCATTTTATCTAAAATGTAATTTTCTCTCCCCTCTTTTTAACCACATCCTCCAATAAATTAATATTACACATAAATCCAAAACCCTTCCTTTTTTTTAACCACACATTTTTCAAAAAATCACTATTTGAAAATTCATTTTTCCCCGGAAACACATTTTAATGGAGGCCAAGCAGGGGCTTAATGGGGTACGAAAGAGCTCAACAACTTTATTAATGGTCGTTGTTGGAGAGAATAATACTATCATGAATGCTGGAGTTTGTGAACAGTAAGTGAAGAATTGTACTTGGCAGAATTTAAATTTGATGGAAATGGAAGCCTTTTACTCTATTTAAGAAGTCCTATGGAGTAAAGGAAGAGAGTGGATATCTTGTCGAGCTAAATTTGTGGCTCTACCATCATCAGAATAATACCTAGAGCACAGCTATGGTTAATATGTGTAGAGTGGTTTGGTGGCAGATACTGTTGATGAGCTAAAGTTGTAGTTTACAGCCATCGGAAACATGAATGATTAATGAAGGCCTTGATATCTCATTGGCTTGAGGTAAGAATTCTATCTATTGCATATTGAGCTATGACTTGATGGAAATGCCATGGAGGTGGAATTAATTTTATGGTATTTTACAACAAAGTACGTGCAGTGTCATCTGGGTGTATTTTTATAGAGGTCACGTACGTAGTTTGTGTTTTTCCTTCTTTCTTCTAAAACATGCCCATTGGCCTGTCTCCCCTGCTCCACTTTTTTTGACAAACTTTTGACTTATCAGAAAGAAATAATACTCGTCTTTGTTCTCATGATAAATTTGAGTACATGCTATTTGCTGTTGACAAATGATGTAATTTTTTCTATTTAAAGTCTTAGTATTCGATGAATAAAAATGTTGAACGAATAATTTCTGCAAACTTGTTGTTTGTAATTGAGAGGCTATTGGTTCCTCGAATTACCAATATTGAGAGGTCCGAATTTCCTTGAATTGACCCACACTTCATCTCTTTTCTTTTTATGTTTTCCATTTTTCGATATTAACAATTGGTGGTGTTCGTATCAAACACCTCTTCTGTAATCTAAGTATAGTTTGTACCTTAGTGTACCTTTTAATGGCAGCATACAATGCACATAATCTACAATGACATCAATTGGCCCCACATATGGGGATTCCAGGGATGTTATGTAAACTTGATATTTAGAAAGTCTATGATCATGTGAACTGGGGATACCTTTTGTATATGCTCAGGCGATGTGGCTTCGGGTACAAGTGGCGCCGTTGGATTCAGTTTTGTATATCTATGGTCTCCTATTCAGTTTTGGTAAACAGCACTCCTGAGGGTTATTTCCGGAATAGTAGAGGTTTGAGCCAAGGGGATCTGTTGTCTCGATTGTTGTTTGTCATTGTTATGGAGGCTTTTAGTATGATACTTGAGAAAGCTGTGGGAGAAAGTCTGTTGAGGGGCTTTATGATTAACCAATTTATGATTAATCAATTACAGATATCCCATTTGCAATTTGCAGACGACAAATTGATCTTCTGTGATGCAGAGGTTGAGCAATTCAGGCATTTGCGACGTCTACTACTATGCTTTGAAGTTGTATCTGGATTGAAAATTAATTTGGGAAAATCTGAGGCCATCACAGATGGGGATGTCGCTAATGTGTAGGAGTTGGTGGCCATATTGGGTTGTATGACTGTGCAACTGTCCTTGTCATATATTGGGCTCCCTTTAGGAGCACGGTTTAAACACATAAACATTTGGAATGGTATTGTGGAAAGGTTGGAGAGAAGATTAGTGGCTGGAAGCGTATGTACCTCTTAAAGGGAGGTTGTCTTACACTCATTAAGTCCACTCTATCAAATCCCCCCACTTACTTCTTGTCATTGTTTTCTATTCCCGTTTCAGTGGCAAAAAGATTAGAGAGGATTCAAAAGGTGTTTCTATGGGGAGGTTTAGGGGAGGAGAGGAAACTTCACTTGGTAAACCCGGGCGTAGTGTGTTCTCCCATAAAAATGAAGGGCCTAGGATTGAGGAGTTTCGTATTGTTTAATAATAAGGTCTTGCTGGGTAAGTGGTTGTGACGATTCGGTGTGGAGAGAGAGAGCTTTTGGAGAGAAATTATAGAGGCTAAATATGGTGTTCTAGAGGGGAGATGGTGCTCGGCTGAGGATCGTAGTTCTTATGGGGTGAGTTTGTGGAGGTATATACGACGAGATTGGAGAGAATTTTAGGGTAGATTGACGTATGAGGTGGGGAATGGCAATACTATCGGATTCTGGGAAGATTGCTGGTGTAGAGATCGGCCATTAAGAGTGGAGTATCCTTCCCTGTATCGTATTACTTTTATGCCACAACAGACTATGGTGAATGAAGTCTTAACTATGGTGAAAAGTCTCACATGTGCATAATGGGAATCTCGATTGGAACATTGCTTTTGGGAGGGGTCTACAGGACTGGGAATTAGATGATTATGCGTTACTTTTGACCTCTTTGCATGAGGTCCACGTTTGGGTAGGCGAGAGTGATAGTAGTAGGTGGAAGTTGGTCGCGATGGTATTTTCTCAGTAAGCTCTTATTTTAGATCTTTATTGGAACATGTGAAGAGTTCATTCCCTTGGAAAAAGGTATGGCGTTGTAAACTGCGCCCTCGGGTGACATTTTTATTTTTTACTATGGATGGTTGTGCGTGGATAGGTGTTAACAGTGGATAATCTCTGATGTAGGGGCTTTTATGTTACAGAATGGTGTTATATGTGTCAGAGGAATGGAGAGACGATTGACCACTTGTTCTTTCATTATGATGGTGCTGGCTTCTCAACACATGGATTGGGTGTTTCCACAGCGTATGAAGGATGTATTGAAGGCATGAGGGAGAAGATTTCGTAATAATGATAGCAAGATTGTCTGGGACTTTGTCCCAGGATGCATTGTCTGGTGTATGTGGAGGGACAGAAATAGCCGCTGTTTCAATGATCATACATAGACAATAGAGCATATTAAAGAATTGTTTTATTTGACACTGTATACTTGGTTTAATGCCCTGGCTATTACTCGCGTAGACGGGTTGTCCAATTTTATATCGTTTCTGTCTTGTATTAATTGATAATACACTTCCTGTGTATTATACATGATTAATAAAATATTTGATTATTTATCAAAAAATAAAAATATAAAAATAATCCGGCTCCGCATAAACAAAATGAGAACAAAGGATTAGATCATGTCATTTTCCTGAAGACAGAAATAGCCGCTGTTTCAATGATCATACATAGACAATAGAGCATATTAAAGAATTGTTTTATTTGACACTGTATACTTGGTTAATGCCCTGGCTATTACTCGCGTAGACGGGTTGTCCAATTTTATATCGTTTCTGTCTTGTATTAATTGATAATACACTTCCTGTGTATTATCCATGATTAATAAAATATTTGATTATTTATCAAAAAATAAAAATATAAAAATAATCCGGCTCCGCATAAACAAAATGAGAACAAAGGATTAGATCATGTCATTTTCCTGAAGGAACAAGTGAAATCAATAGTAGAGACTCGAATATGCAATCACTTGCCTTGTGCATTGACATTTTTATATGTATCTTTGTTTTGATTTGATCTAGTTTCCTTTTCTTGGCACATGACAAATTGTTATAGGTGTTCATAAAAAAGATTATAATAGGTATTCATAAGGAATCTCTCTATTAGGTAGTGTAACTTTCCTATTTTGGTTGTTTTTAACCCTACAATACGGATTTTATCTTTACAATATAGAGGGGCACAAAAGTTTTTGCAATTTTTTTTTATACCTCCGTGTTTCTCTTAATTACCTTTACTCTATAATTTCTAATTACCACCAACAACCAACATGATTCTGATGTTCTACAACAATAAAGTTCCTCTATCCAGAGGCCAATTATGATCATTTTTCTCCCAGAAAAAACTAGAGCAATGTTGTTTCGTACAAAAAACGCCTGTAGAATGCATATTTGTTTGGTAATGAAAATTGGAAACTATTTGACAAAGTTTGTCTATTGTTGTTATCAATCTTTAGACATCCATGATTACATTTTTCCTTTTTATAAATATACTACATAGATATGCTTATATATGTGTACCTTTTAAGTGTTTCTAATCAATATAGCTCTCTATCTTTTGCAGCTGGGTTGCTGAATTGGAGTTTGATTTCCCTCATTAATGTGGTGGCTTCTATTCTATTTCGTTATACTGCCCCCAAAAGAGGTGAGCTGTACCTTTATTCAGATAATGGAGTTAAATTAGGCTACTTTACCTGGTCACGTCTTGAGTTTACAATGTTTATCAACTTCATTTTATGCGTATTCTGCTCTCATTTAGAATGCGATGGCCGTACCTTGAGATTGCAGAACAAGCATATTGGGAAATCTTGTTACATCAAATATTTTACCTAATTGTACTCTTTCTTTTCCTTGCAGGTTTTCCATTAAGGGGACGAGTTTTATCTTTATGGTTTGTTCTTGTGTATGCAGTTCTTGTAATTGTTTTGCAAGTGGTTTTTCTTATTGTATGGGCCATTCTGGATTCACAACGGATCTTTGCAGATGTCTGGTGGATAAAGCTTATTGGATTTATGAAGTAGGATTTAATCATTTTCTTCTTATGGCTAATGTTCTATTCATGTATCACATATGCACAATATTTTTGCCTTTTGTGCATATTACTTTTGGAAAGGTTACCCTCATAAGTGTACTTACACAGTATTCTTTTACAGGGTCCAATCCTCAAGACCTCCAACAGTAATCTATTTTTTGATTGTAGAAATATTAGTGGCACTTGTAGCTTTCATTGAAATCCGTGGAAAGAAATTTGGTTTTCTAGAATCGCACGATTCATATTGGAGCTATTTCTCATCAGTTGTTGGACGTATAGGTTAGTTTAATTTCTAGTTGATCGTAACCCTCATTATTTTGAGGAAGTATAGAAAAAACTATGGCTATCTATACATCTATCCTTGCAATTTGTCATGCAGTTCAACTCTTGCATTCATTAAATGGCGCAATGCAGTGTAATACGCGAAACTTATGATTGTTATTTGAAAACTGGACAATCAGAGTACCCTCCATAACTTTTATATAGAAACATGGACTTATGCTATCTGTGTTAAAAGACTATAAGCTATGTTATTGTTGCATTGCATCTGCAAGAAATTTGTTATTAATTGAATACTATGTGAAAGAACATAATTGAACAAGAACGAGACTTGTAGAAGAAGGGTAAAGAGGAATGAGACAGACCAAGAGAAGGGAGAGAAGCAGAAATTAGGACAGAGAACATGTCTGCATTTTATATTTAAGTATAATAATTCCAATGCATAAGCTCCCTTTATACATGGTTTAACTAATCTAATTTAACTACGAAAAACCAATAAAATATTAGAAAATCTACAAAATAAAACTCTTAATGACTTTTGCCAAAATAAGTATCTAAGCCCCCGTTTGTATCCCATTATTTGGCCATTAAAATGAAAAATATAACCGTCATCCATCACATCAAGCCATCATTTTGAATTGTTATCTCTTGTGTGGGATCCGTAACGACTTTATTTTTCATTCTCATTCTTACATTAATGAGAAACAAAGGGGGCATAAATTGGAAAATCTTTCATACAATATATCCTATGCCTCTGAGATTTGATTGCCGGCCAATAATACAGAGTGAGGCACTGTCTGGCATATCTTTTCAACTAGGATATATCTGATTCGGATTTGCATACTCAGATAATTGGTTTCATTGTCATTCTTTCAGTTTTTCTTTTGGAATATATTCCGGTCTTCTATTACTTAAGCACTATTCACACATCACTTTGATTAGTTTGCAAATGGAGTATTTTGATTTTAAAGGGTATGCAGTTTAGAGGGATTGAATTCTAAAGGGGAGATCTCACCCTCACTAAATCTTATCCCTTTTTAACTGCATAATAGTCTGGTTTATTGTGCTATCCGAGGATTCTCAGTTGTCATAACATGTCCTTTTTTTTGTGTCTCACGTGCAAGGTTACCGCCTGAGGTTAGCTTCTTGCTTAGTGCTGCCTGCCGTGCAGTTGGTTGTGGGAATCAGTAATCCATCTTGGCTTTCATTACCCTTTTTCATTTGCAGCTGTGTTGGTCTTGTCGATTGGTCTTTAACCAGCAACTTTCTAGGACTTTTCCGGTACAATCTGATTTTGAATTCCCAAACATGTAAAAATCTGAATGAAGCATTTCAGATTTTGCCATTTAGTTGCTAAATCCTTCAATGGCTTATGTTTTTGTGTACATGTATTGAAGGTGGTGGAAGCTGCTCTTTATATATGCTGGTTTTAGCATTTGCCTACTTTATACGTATCAGCTTCCTATTGGGTTCCTGCAGAATTTCCATGCGATAGCCGATTTTGTTGGTCTGTACAAAATATCTGCTAAATCTGACTGGCAGCAAAGTTGTTCTGCCATTTCTCTGGTGGCGTTCTTCTATATGGTATGGTTTCATCATCTTAGTTTCAGACTTGAATTCTTGTTTGTCATGCTGCGCGTAATCATTCTATCCCGATGCTGTGATGTACCCTTTCTCCATCCAGTGGGAGTCGTGTTTTGTGACTTGCAATGTGATTTATCAGTTTGTCTTCTATTTCGTAGATGTTGTTTAGAATTGAATGCAATTTTTCATAACTTAATGACAATGAGTCATGAACAAAGCATGGCCTGTCACAATAATCTGTCTTGAAAAAATATTGAACCTCTTATCATATTCTGTTTTAAAGTTGGAATATCAAGAAGATCCCAAATATGGATATAGCTAAATTTTAAAGAACTTTTTATAGACTAAGTAGTTTACAACCAAATTATTTTCCATAAAATTTGGCCTAAGTTTGTATAACAACAAAGAGGTGCCCATATGGTGCATCTTCAAGAAAGCTACTTGTGAAGTTCCACTTGTGTAAATAATTTATCAACATTTAATATAAAATAAAAACATCTAATATCATTTTTTGACTCCTTATCTCCCCGGTGTAAATAATTTATCGAAGTTGGGATCAAATTCATTTGTATCACATGGCATCATGTCATATTTTCACTCCCCAAAGTATAAATGACAGTCATAATAAACAATCCAAACATGTGTATAAGAATCTTTAAAGGGTACTATGTGAAGCCTTTCCTTTTGGGACAGTTAAAACTTTTAAGTAGCTTATGGTTTATTATAATAGTTAAATATGAAAAGAATGTCCCAGATACCTGGTTTCTTTTGCTGTTTGAATGTACTTCTCTAATAGGATCTGAAGTAATAATTTTTTTTGTGGGAGTCATGTGTGATGAGTATGGTGCAATGCAAAGAAGCTGCATATTTCAGCTTCAGATCCTCATTGAAAATTGCAGTATACATAATGGAGTTTTGAGAATGCAGTTCAGTACAGTTCAGTTCACCTTAGAGCCACTGTTTTTTACAAATAACGTGTCGAGTTTGAGTGGTTTTGACAGTTTTTCACCTGTTCATGTGCAAACCTTGAATTACTGGACTAGCTTGATGGATGGGTTGCCAGTTGTTGGGTCAAACTTGTCCGGTTTGGTCCAGGTTCAACAACTATGACTATGCTGAATCTGGAAGGCATATAATTGATGTGAAACCTTCTCCTCTTGGACCTTATCATTTTCCTTTCTTTTTTCTGAAAGTTAGATCATGGAATCATTGATTTTCTGTAAATAAGTGCACTTTGTGACCGATTTCTTGAATGAGTGCAACTCCATCTAGATAACCTTAGCAATTGTACGCTTCAGAGGTTTTGATACAGTTTTCCGTAAAAATCATGAAGTTAGCAGCTATAAAGTATTCTGGAGGTAAGGTTAGGAGAACGTATGCTTCCCTACTCTAGGTTCAGATGAAAGCGTCTTGAAGTTATTGATGTTATTGTTGATCTGAAACTGTGTGAATAAAATCTATAAACTTGTTATATTCTGGTTTGATTGGTTTCTGTAATAGCTTTATATTGACAATACAATGTGGTTATTGGTTACAAGATTGTGGAAGAGAGGTGGCAGAGAAGTAATGACTCTCTACTCTAGGTCCAGATCAAGTCTTCAAACTATATGCATTAGTTATTCTGGATCTGAAGCTATATGAATATTTTTATAAATTTGTTACATTTTGGTGAATTGATCTTTGTAGTAGCTTTGTGTCAGTGAATTTTTTTTACAAGATTGCCGAAGAGAGATTCAGCCGTCTGGAATACTAATTTGACGTGGTTCTCTCCCTCACTGTTTCTCTCTCTCCTTTCCTTCCTCTCTCTCTCACCCCTACACATTCCTTTGCATTATTAAGCTTTTCTCCAGGTCCCATTCCACTGTTGTGTTAATTGCTTAGTCATTCTCCTAGAGAGTCATGGGGGATCTAAAATTTTGATAGAGGGAAAATAGCGAGAATCACCACAAGAGCAGTTGCCTTAAACCTTAGATGTAAATTTGTACACGTTGAAGAACTTTCCATCTCTATGTGAAGGGAAAGTGGTGTTTTTTTTTGTCTTAGGATCTCCCATTTTCTTGAATGGATAACTAATAGCTGGGAAATGTTTATGCAGCTGTCTGGTGTAAAACATGATTTGGAGCAAATGGAATTTATTATGTCCGTGAGAGAAGGCAGCCTGACTGAGCAACTTCTTCCTTCAAGTAAATCCTTTTTCGTACGGACCCTGAGGTAATTGCAGCACCCAGGATTTAGCTGATCTATTAACACACCACTTTTTGAATCTAAGATGATCGTGATCACTGTACTGTATCAAAGGATGCTTTGAAGAAATTATAAGGTCAGAGCAAAGTGGCATATCTCCTCTGTATTCTTCTCAATGAAAACATCTAGATTGTCAGTTCCTAGTAAACTGATGTCATCGGTTGGTTTAACTGATGAAAAACCAATAATCTCCAAGACTTTCTTCTTAACCTCAATAAAGTTGATATTCTTGGTGTTATCAATTTTCTCTCTTCATTGCCTTCTCAATGTCTTAACCACCATTCTGCTCCTGGTGAACCCATCTGTCTCATCTGAAAAATCTCATGCTTTTTTCCCATAGAAGTTTTGTTCTGAAAAAAGCTCCACTTCCTTCCCATTGAAATATGGAAAATTTATTCGTATGAACTTCCATTCAGCATTTCTAACGTAACAATCAATCCAATGGATGAAGTAATAACCTTAATAATAAGAATACTTGTCATATTCTCCTATATACTCAATTATTTAGGTCATTGACAAACCATATGAGGAGAAATTACGAGAGAGAGAGAGAGAGAGAGAGAGAGAGAGAGAGTGAGTGAGTGAGTTGGGTGGAAAGGTATCTCATGGAATTTCTACTTTTAAGAGAGTAAAAAGGAAACTTTATAATTGCAGTATAATTTTTAATGGTGGATCTGTGCATAAAGAGGGATAACTTCGAATTCTTTGCATACCTCACAGCTGGATGATGCTTGTAGGAGGAAAGTTAGAAAAAAGTGCATATGTTAGACCATAGACCCAAAAGGCATAAAAGGAGATTTTGCACTTTTTTGCTTTGGCGTTATCATCAACCTGACATTAATATAGTCTAGATGGCTTTAATGAGGGAGGAAACTTTTTTTCCCCGTAAACACTAATATAGCCCCCGTTTGGCTCCCTTTCTCTTTCAATTTCTTCTCTCTCTATCTCTCTCTCTTATTTTCAACCACATCACAATCTTCCATAAAATAATACTACACGTAAATCGAAAATTTTCTTTCTTTTTTAACCACATATTCTCCAAAAAAAAGATACTATTTCAATCAATAAAGTTTGAAAAAAAGGAGGCCAAATGGGGGCATAATTCTTGAGATGGTATTTCACATGTGAATGTGTTTTATTTAGTATAACAGCTAATTCTTTTCCACTATGCCACTTTTTATTTTAAGTTCATTATTAAGAGATGATATTTTGATTTTCACGCAAAATAAATTTACGTATAAGCTTGAGATTCGTGAAGAAATAGTTTCTATTTACGCTAAAGGTGTGTTTGATTGCAAGTATGAAATTTACATGGAAAGAAAATAAATTTTAGGTAATTAAATTGCTTAGAACTTATTTACTTAAAAATTGTCAATTAAATATATTTGATTGTTTTAATTTTCAACTTAGAAAATGATATACTTGTCCATCTTTTATTGGTGGGTAGACGAGAGAGAGAGGAAGTAGATGAGAGAGAGAGAAAATTACTTGGAAAATAAAAAATCACTCCCCTTGAAGAAAATATTTTTCTTGTTTTCACAAAAAATAGGTTATGTGACCAAAAGTAGGGAAATGTTTTTCATGGAAAAAACATCAATCAAAGAAGTAGGAATTTGGGTGGAAAGATTGAGATTTTTCATGGAAAATATTGTTAATCAAATGCACCCTAAATATATCCTTATATCAAAAAATTGTAGCATGTTTCTTTTACAAGTTTGTTGAACTGTCTCGATGATTTGCAGGTCTGGCGTAAGGCATACCAATGTGTTATTAAGGGGAACAGTTTTCAGGATTTTTAGTATCAACTGGTTCACATATGGTTTCCCGGTACATATCCTTGGACTTGAAAATCTTGTTTTATGGTGGCTTGAACCTGGGTTACTTTTTGTTAATGGTTTGTGACATATGAAATACTGTTCAGATGCATATGCCAACAGATATGTGTTAAAATCCTGTAATCAATTTACACACACACACACACACACACACACAAAAAAAAAAGTACAACTTCAGCTTCTTCTGATATTTGGTAAAGCTTTTATCATGCTCTTATGTGATTCTCACTGTATGATTAACAATGATTAGTAAATACTATCTCAATGTTCAAACCCATAAACAATTCCACTAGCATAGTTTTTAACGGCTATGATTCATATTCATATCCATCAACTCAAGTCTTTACTAGGAGCCTATAAATTCACATGGAAGGTATGATTACCTTTCCATGAGAAACTATTATCTTTTTTAGGTGTTTTGACTAGGGAAATATTTAATATGACTTAATGGAAACATAATACAGCATGGACACAAAGTATAACATAAAAAGGACAGAAGAAAGTAGCACTTCAATCTGGTTAATACAGAAAAAGTGGTTGTGATTTATGGAGATTATGTTATCTCATTTCTTGAAGAATCTGAACAGCTTGTGGTTGAAGACTGGAAAATGCACTTCATTTGATTTATTTTGCGAAACTTATTTGGTTATTGTGAGCCTAAATTAAGGTCAGGAGTTGATATTGAAATTTACAGGGATCTTGAATGGTTTCAAAATTTAGTACAATGAAGTATATTTATGCAGAAACTCGAAAACGATTCTGTTCAATAACTATCATTCATCCTGATTCCAACATGTTCTTGTCCAGGAAGTTCTTATTTTCTCGATTTCAAGAAAGTAGTTTCTTCTTTCCTAGAAGTTGCAGAGACTTCTATTAAGAATAGGTTAGAAGAGGTTGTGCATAAGGAATTAATCTCTTTGAGAATGTAACAAAGTTTAAATTGGTTAACAAAGGAGATGCATATTTGTGAAATTTTCGTGACCGATTAGTTTTGAAAAACTAAGACTATGATCAATAGGTTGGGAAGGGGAGTGTCTCTGTTGAAGGAGGATAGAGTGTATTTTTCTGTTGAAAGCTTGTTCTCAGAAAACAATTAACGAGCTATATTACTAGAGTTAACCCTCCCCCCCCAAAAAAAAAAAAGAAAAAAAGAAAAGAAGGAAACTCTGGAAGCTGGACTTTGACCAGGATTGTAATAACGTGAAAACTATATCAGTATTTATCCTACTCAAAGTTCCTTAGGACCCATGCCCACAGACAAAAAGTTTCAACTTGAGAGGATGGGATGGTATGATCTCTTTTAAAATTCTATTTTAGTCTATATGTAAAATCAGTGTCTCACGTCAGTGTTATTTTTTACTCACATTATGATAAGTTCTTGTGAAATCTTATATGGGTTTCACTTATCTACATTTTAGTTTATTTTTCCATAATTTTTGTAGGCTGTCTTTGCTTAGTTTATAAACTTTCAACAGTAAATTTGACAGATATCCTTGTTTGCCCTTTCCTATTGGAGTTTCCAATTTGCAAGTATATGTGCATTTGGGTTACTTGCGTACGTTGGATATGTTCTATATGATTTTCCGTCCTTGTTTCGTCTGCACCGATTGAATGGGCTACTTCTCGTCTTCATTCTCTTGTGGGCTGTGAGCACATATATCTTCAACGTGGCTTTTGCATACCTGAACTGGAAACTTGGGAAGGTAACCTCGTATAATTTTTCAAGTAAATCTACGGTCCAATGTTTGAGGAAAATTTACAGCTGGATTTATTTTCTACACAGGATATGGAGATCTGGGAGATGGTTGGATTGTGGCATTATCCCATCCCTGGGTTCTTTCTTCTAGCACAGTTTTGTCTTGGAATTCTTGTAGCTCTTGGTAATCTTGTGAACAGTTCTGTTATCCTATGTGTATCAAATGAGGAGAGACGATTCTCAAATGAGAACGAAACAGAGGAAGGTAATACATTGCCAATTTGAAACTCCTTTATTCTTGGTTGAAAAATAAAATAGTACTTCCTTTTGCATTTTTGTTATATTAAGAGATCGTGCTCTTCATTTATCCTTGTTTCAGTCCTTCACTCGATAGGCTGTCTGGCTATTTGCCTATTGACTATATCACTTGTGACTAATTACTATTTTCAACTGTCACAGAAGACACATGTATCAAGCTTATATAAACCAAATAAACTTCTTGATTGCTTGATTAGCTAGTGTACTTACTCAGACTGAGAAGTTGTCTTTATATTTACTGTTATCTTTTGGATGAAAATATATTTATTACTGGCTCAATTCTTTTTGATTTGTTTGGAGTGGCCCTGATTGATTCCCGTTTGCATCGTGCCTTCTAACTTGTGAGAGGAGTTAATATTCAATTTAAGAGAAACCCAAAGCTTCTTGATAGCCCTGGGTTAATGGGCTTATCGTTTTTTGAGTTTAGATGTGCACTCAATAATTGGCATCCGTTTTTATATATTATGAATCTCCTTAGTTTCTACTGAGATGGGTGTTTTCCTTATAATTTTCTCACTGCTGTCAACTTTTTACATTGGGGCAATCAATTCTGCATTTAACTGTGATTCCAGTTTTGCTTATTATTACGCATATTTATCACAGTGAAAGAAGATGCAATAGTCTTGGTAGTGGCTACAATTGCTTGGGGACTGCGCAAATGTTCTCGGCCTATTATGCTTTTGCTGATATTCCTCATCTCGATGAAACCTGGTTTCATCCATGCTGTGTATGGTATGCAAATTAGATGCATGATATTTGCTGATAACCAAGTGTAGCTGGACACTTGGGTGCATTTGAACAGCAAGATATTTTGGGTGATGCTCAATAATCTGACTGGCTTTAAATTCTGTCTTTTCTTTCAGTGGTATTCTTTTTAATGTACGTTTTGAGCCATAATATCAGTAAAAGGATGCGCCAATCCCTTATTCTTCTGTGTGAGGCTCATTTTGCGATTTTATACATTTGTCAACTTAATCTGGTATCAAGAAGGTTGGAGCAAAAAGGCTCTCTAAGTATGGAAGTTCTTTCACAGTTAGGTATGGATATATTTGTTCTTGAGTTTCTCTTCTGTTTGGATATAATCAGTGCATCGAGCACTTTTCTCTTCTTCATTATGGTCTGACATTTCATCTTTACTAATGTGTTTAGTTTTTTGAAATACCTGTAGGGCTCGTTGAAAGTAATAGTTCTTGGGACTTCACTGAAATAGCTCTGCTTGCTTGCTTCTGTGCGATTCATAACCATGGCTTTGAACTGTTGTTCTCTTTTTCTGCAATAGTGCAGCATACACCTTGCCTTCCAATTGGATTTAGCATTCTGAAAGCTGGTTTGAACAAATCAGTTCTTTTGTCAGTTTATGCGGCCTCCAACATCAGGGACAATTCTGAAAATCCTTCTCACGGTAATATAACCTTGTCCATGACTAGCTTGTTCACATTTTATCTAACTGGAGGTGGTTAAAACTATTTTTAGCATCAGAATTTAGGATCTTTAATAGACTTATAATGCCTGATGTCCTATGGTTAATTGAGCAAGAATATGCTGGTCCTAGCTTCATTCTTCATGGTGCAGAATAATAAAGCATAAAAGATCATTCTAGAATTTCGTTTCCTATATAAAATTAAATGGTCAAGTCTAACTTATTAGTGCGACTGTTATTGCTGTTGTATTATCATTCTTGTCCATCTTCTTTCAGAGAGAAAGGTAGCCTTGTATCTCAGTTCAATTGGAAAGAAGTTCTTGTGCATGTACAGATCATATGGAACCTACATTGCTTTTCTGACCATTCTTCTTGCGGTTTACCTTGTGAGACCTAATTACATATCATTTGGTTATATTTTCCTTCTCCTTGTGTGGATCATCGGTAGACAACTTGTTGAGAGGACTAAACGGCGCTTATGGTTTCCACTAAAAGCATACACAATCTCAGTGTTCATGTTCATTTATAGTCTAAGCATTTTTCCCACATTTGAGACATGGATGTCCAGAAAAGTTGATCTTGATATATGCTTCGGCTATAATACTGAAGCTTCTTTGTTGGAAAATCTTTGGGAGTCTCTAGCAATCATGATTGTCATGCAACTTTATAGCTATGAGAGAAGACAAAGCAAACATATAAAATCAGAAGATCCGGATCCGTTGGAAATTGGAATTTGTGGATTCATTAAACGGATTCTGATTTGGCACAGTCAAAAGATTTTGTTTGTCGTGTTGTTCTATGCATCATTATCTCCAATAAGTGCATTTGGGTTTTTGTATCTTCTCGGTCTGGTTATCTGCTCTGCTTTACCTAAAGCATCCAGAATCCCATCCAAATCATTCTTAATTTACACAGGAATTTTGATAGCAGCAGAGTACCTATTTCAGCTATGGGGCAAACAAGCTAAAATGTTTCCTGGGCAAAAACATTATGATTTGTCCCTTTTGCTTGGTTTACAGGTATATAAACCTAACTTTTGGGGTCTAGAAGCAGGCTTGAGGGCAAAAGTGCTGGTAGTTGCTGCATGTACCCTTCAGTACAATGTTTTTCGTTGGTTGGAGAAAATTCCTAGTTCTATTTTGAATGAAGGTAGATCAGGGGAACCTTGCCCTTTATTTGTCTCAGCAGAAGATGATTTCCCTGTTGTTTCGACTTCCGGTGGGGATAACAACATATTAACGGACTCCAGTAAATTGTCTGTGGAAAGAATGGGAGTGACAAGCAATTCATGGCCATCTTTCAGGCCTGATCTTCATCAATCATCCGAAGTGTCCTCTGGTAGAGGAGGTACTAGGGATGCCAGTGCTAGAAAACATTTTTTTGGTTATATCTGGGGAAGCCTGAGGGAGAGTCACAAGTGGAATAAGAAAAGGATTATCTTCTTGAGACAGGAGAGATTTGAGTTGCAGAAGATGACCTTAAAAGTCTATTTGAAATTTTGGATGGAGAACATGTTCAACCTCTTTGGCCTTGAGATCAATATGATAGCATTACTTCTTGCCAGTTTTGCTTTGTTAAATGCTCTTTCTATGTTCTATATTGGATTTCTTGCTGCTTGTGTTCTATTGGCTAGGCCTATAATACTCAGACTATGGCCAGTATTTGTCTTTCTGTTTGCTTCTATTCTTCTCATTGAATACTTCGCCATGTGGAAGAACATTATGCCTTCGGGTCAACACATCTCAACCAAGACCAATGCGCATTGTCATGATTGCTGGAGAAGCTCAAATCTATATTTCCACTTTTGCACGAATTGTTGGCTGGGTAAGATTTTTATCATTGTCAATGTTACTACTTAGCAAGCTAGCATTTATTGTGTTATTAAATTTTTGATTGAGTATGATTTGCTTCTTATGAAGGGGAGCTCTGTTAGGTCTACACAGTATATGTCCCAATCACCTACGTCATCATTCCTTTCATTTATCCTCAATTTGGGCCACATAAATTGTTGGCATATTTATCTCATCGACTGTGGTACGACTATATATCCATCTTAGCATCCTCATTTTCACTATGATAATCTAATGAACATTCTGTTCTTTAACTACTCATCATTCAGTATCATACAGCATAGCACATGTAATAGTTAATAGAATTGGTCCTTTTAACCTCAATAGAGATTTTCCAAGCACACAGATTGCCTGTAGCACTTCCGTTTTTGGTCCAACATGCCGTAATCCATTTCATTACATTCTCTTCTATTCGTACTTCCTTGTTAATAATCAAGCTTTACACTTTCTCTATTGAGGCCCAGTCATTAAAAATTTGTTATGGTGGCTAAATATGTGCACAGTTAAGTCATCCTTGCTGGTAAAAGCATTCAATAGTGAAATAGAAGGAACTCTTTTAGAGAAAGAATAACTAAAGCAATAATTGCAAGAACCTTATAATGTTGTAAAACTTCCACAGAGGCTATTTCTTTATTTAGTTTAAAGTTCCTTTGACTCTGGAACCTCAGGAGAACACTGATCATTTGTCTAATAGAAATTTCAGAGGCATGAGCTTGATATTTTACCTGTCAGATTCAATTTCTCTTGTGCTGATCTAACATTGCTGTGTATCCTGTTTCTCTGGCAGGGCTTATTGTTGATGATCCTCGAACGCTGATTAGTTATTATGTGGTCTTCATGCTCGCATGTTTTAAACTTCGTGCAGATCGTGCCTCAAGTTTTTCAGGGTCATTTACATATCGCCAGATGGTTTCACAGCGTAAAAATGCGTTTGTTTGGCGAGATCTTTCATTTGAAACAAAAAGCATGTGGACTTTTCTCGACTACGTGAGGCTTTACTGTTATTGTCATCTATTGGATCTGGTACTTGCTTTGATTTTGATTACGGGGACCCTTGAGTATGACATTCTGCACCTCGGTTACCTTGGTTTTGCTCTTATTTTCTTCCGAATGAGGCTTACGATACTAAAGAAGAAAAATAAGATCTTCAAGTACCTGCGAATGTACAATTTTGCAGTTATAGTTCTATCTCTTGCTTATCAGTCTCCCTTTGTAGGTGATTTTAATGCAGGGAAGTGTGAAACAATTGATTATATTTATGAGGTGATCGGGTTTTATAAATATGATTATGGGTTTCGTATTACGTCAAGATCTGCTTTGGTTGAGATCGTCATTTTTGTTCTGGTATCACTTCAGTCATATATGTTCTCATCCTCGGAGTTTGATTATGTCTTTCGATATCTTGAGGCTGAGCAAATTGGTGCAATTGTACGTGAGCAAGAGAAGAAAGCTGCTTGGAAGACTGAACAGTTGCGGCATATTCGCGAATCTGAGGAGAACAAACGTCAGCGTAACTTACAAGTAGAGAAAATGAAATCTGAGATGCTCAACCTACGAATCCAGCTTCATGGTACGAATTCAACTGATTTCTGTGGTGATACTTCTCCTGCTAGCGAGGGCTTGAGAAGGAGGAAGCATACTTCATTTAATCTACACTTGGACACCGACAACCTTGAGAAACAGGATGGAAATATCTATTCTGATTCAGTTTTCCCGTTTCATTTGAATGATTCTCCTGGTAGTGCAAGAACAGAAAGTCCGATTGCAGCAGACTTAACAAAGCCTCCAATGTATACCTCTATTTGTGAGATCACAGAACTTGAGGAGGATGCAAATGATAAAGCCTTTACTGATTCATACACGGCAAAGAAACGCAAAGGCCAATCACGGGAAAACCCATTAGTTTCTGCTGTGCAGTTGATAGGAGACAGCGTCTCCCAAGTACAGTCAATTGGAAATCAGGCAGTTAACAATCTTGTCAGCTTCTTGAACATTCCACACGAAGATTCAGATTCAAATGATCCCTCGTTTGTGGAAGATGGAGTATGTAATGTGAGCGAAAGCCTAGACATTACAGATGCGCACGTATATCGTTCATCTTCTTTGCAGTCTGACAAAAGTAGAATGTCGGATTCTGCTAGGCTACGGATTGGGCTGATTGTCCACCATATATGGTCCCAGATGCGATCCAACAACGATGTAGTGTGTTACTGTTGCTTTCTTCTGGTTTTTCTTTGGAATTTCAGTTTACTTTCTATGGTATACTTGGCGGCTCTTTTTCTCTATGCTCTCTGTGTAAATTCTGGGCCCAACTACATCTTCTGGGTTACCATGCTAATCTACACAGAAATTTATATTTTGATTCAGTATCTGTATCAAATCATTATCCAGCATTGTGGTTTCAGCATCCAGTCAGGCCTTCTTCGTGAATTGGGGTTTCCTACAAAAAAGATAACATCATCGTTTGTTATCAGCTTGCTACCTTTATTTTTGGTGTACTTATTTACTTTAATACAGAGTTCAATAACTGCAAAAGATGGCGAATGGTTTTTAGACGGATTTAGTAATGGTAAAGGGGGGTTAAGGGATCGAAAGGAGGTTCACGCAGATTCCAGCTGGAGTGATAAAGCAAAGAAACCTGTCCAGTTAATTGATTATATGGTGAGAATGGTGGTCAGAAGCTGTTCTAGATACTGGAAATCATTGACACAAGAAGCTGAATCTCCTCCATACTTCGTACAATTGTCCATGGATGTCCATGCATGGCCAGAGGATGGAATCCAACCAGAGAGGATTGAATCTGGAATAAATCAGCTGCTGCGACTTGTACATGATGAAAGATGCACAAATGAAAGCCCTAATCATTGTCCTTGTGCCAGCAAGGTCCAAATTCAAAGCATTGAAAAAAGTAAAACCCCAAATGTGGCCTTGGCTGTTTTCGAGGTGGTCTATGCCTCCTCTTTAACAGAATGTTCTCGAGCAGAAAAATACAACTCTCTAACTCCAGCAGCTGACGTAGCAAGAGAGATCCTTAAAGCAAAATGCATGGGCCTTGCTGAAGAAGTCGGATTTCCATACTCCATACTTTCTGTAATTGGAGGTGGCAAAAGAGAAATTGACCTTTATGCATACATCTTTGGTGCCGATCTAGCTGTTTTCTTCTTGGTTGCAATTTTCTACCAATCTGTTATTAAAAATAAAAGTGAATTTCTTGAGGTTTATCAGCTTGAGGATCAATTCCCAAAGGAGTTTGTATTTATTCTGATGGTAATAATTTTTGTCTATCATTTTCATTTTTGGGCTCAATCTTCTAAAAAATAAACCTTTGATTCATGTCCAAAAAAGATTAAGGTGAAGAACATTGACCAAATCTTTATGATTTCTTTAACCTTTTGAAATTGAAATTGAAATTGAATACTGTGTTCTTGATTTTATTTAAAGGGTCACATGACTAATCACTGCCAATTTTTATTCCTTGATTTCACTGCCACGTGCTTATATGGTTCGTTGATTTATGAGTTTTCTTTCTGTGCAGATAATCTTCTTCTTGATTGTGGTTGATCGCATCATGTACCTATGTTCGTTTGCAACTGGAAAAGTGATCTTTTACCTTTTCAACCTCATACTTTTTACATATGCTATCACTGAGTATGCTTGGCATTTGGAAACACAGAACGCAGCTGGGTTGGCACTTCGTTTAATATATCTAACTAAAGCTGGTTCTTTGGCACTACAAGCCATGCAAATCAGATATGGCGTTCCCCATAAAAGTACTTTGTATCGCCAGTTCCTAACCAGTGAAGTTTCTCGGGTCAATTATCTTGGCTATAGACTCTATCGTGCTCTGCCTTTTCTATATGAATTGCGATGTGTACTTGATTGGTCATGCACAACTACGTCGTTGACAATGTATGACTGGCTGAAGGTGAGTTCTCAGAGGTTTCAACTTTTGGGAAGTATGCATTGAAAAGGCACTCCTTTCATTGCCTATGATTTTTGTGGCTCGGTTGAAGTAAGAATTTTTATAAATGATTTTTGCAATAGAAAGTGTTCCAGCCAATTGGCCAAATATTACACTGGTGTAAACTTTGACCATGGAGCCAGCTTAAATTTTGTTTGTTGTCACCCCAAAGCAAGCTAGATATGGCAACCAGAAACTAAATAATGGCTCTGTAAGACCAAAATGCACCTAATCAAACTATTAGGCTTCAAATTACTTTTGATTCTTTAACTAGAAAAGAGAGTAAGTCACTAGGTGTATTTCTGGTTCACAAACCGATGATTTTTGCTAAAGCAATGAATTAATAACATGGGAAGTAATCGTCCTAACCTACTCGGAAACAAATAAATCTTCCACAAGCTGCATGCACAAAGGCCTTATGACGAGACTTCATTGGCTGGTATATTAACATTAGTTTTTCTTTATGAACCAAGATAAAAAGAAGTATAAATAGCTTGCATCCAAATCATAACATTATAAATTTTTTCAGATTAGTTGTGTTCAGCCTTAGACAGATCAAGGTACTGAAAATCTGATGCAACCATACTGAATTCTTCACTCCAGCTTTGGAGGAGTATACTCCCTGTCGGGGTACTTGTATTAAGTCTAATATTTTTTGTTTGGTTGTTCATCACAGCAACACATGATTAGATATTAAAATTGAAACTGATATTTACATATCCATTTTAGTTGGAGGACATAAATGCAAGCTTGTACCTTGTCAAATGCGATAATCTTCTGAATAGAGCTTCACACAAACATGGAGAGAAGCAGACAAAGATGACAAAGTTTTGCAATGGCATATGTCTATTCTTTGTATTAATCTGTGTTATTTGGGCTCCCATGCTGGTAAGTAACTCATGACACGACTGTTCTCTACAACATAATACTAGTTGTCATATTTTAGATATAAAATATAGGCAAATGCTAAAAAATTTCTATCTATCTTGTTATAAATTTGTTGTGTTATAATTGCTAAATTTTTAGTTACTGATTAATTCTTACTTTCTGTTTTTGGTTGTTTTTATTGTTATGATTATTGGTAGTGTCATTCATCATCATTCGGGCCCCAGGGTGGGGGAGAAGCATGAGATACACGGTCAAAATTCTTTGCAAAATAGGCACTGTAATGTAGAAAGCTTATAATGCTATTATGTTTCTGCAAGGTATTTTTTTATTTTTGAGCATCTTTTGCTCCCCTAGACTTGTAATTTGTTTGAAATATACATCAGTTCCATTTCAGAAATTAATTTGTACATTATGTTTTTTTAAAGGTATTAATTCATACATATTTTCTGGTACAGAAAGTTCACTTTTCATTTGACTTATTATGCCATTTCAAGCTTGCAACATGCGTTATTTCACCTTTAAAGATACATCTTTGTCCTCACTTTTTACTCTGTAGGGGGTCCTAGGTTGATTCTGCCACACGTTGAATATATAATTCAGCTGATTTCTATATCAAGTACACCTCACTTTGTTTTTAATATTATTCTTCAAAGTTCTCCCTAAGTTGCATAGTAGCTAGTTAGTAGTGTATGAACAGAAAAACTCAAGATAGTGTTGAGATATATTGCAATTTAAGTTGAACAAATAGCTGGTGTTATATTCAATTGAAATACAACTATTTTATCTGTATTTAGGTGCTCCAAAGTTGCAGAATCAGGAATAGTGACATACTGAAATTCTTTTCTTATTCTGTAATTATACCATTACAAAGTTGGTGGCTGGATAATAGCTGGTATCTTCTGCCATGGTCTGATATTGAGTCAGATTATTTTTTCTTCTTTTGTATATATGGAAGCATAGTATCATGTATAATGAGGATTACCTGAAAAAAAGTTGATTTCCTAATTGGGATTATACACAATAAACCTGAAATTTATGATGAAATGAACTAGTTTGAATACAGGGTTTGCTTTCTTTTGTTAAGAAAAACATACAAGAATGTTTTGTGTGGGTATAAAATGATGTTCTCTTTCAGATGTACAGCAGTGGTAATCCAACAAACATAGCCAATCCAATCAACGATGCTAGTGTTCAGTTTGATATCAGAACAGGGGGTGGAAGGTTGACGCTGTACCAGACAACTCTTTGTGAAAAACTTTCATGGGTTCAGCTCAACGCAAACTTTGATCTTGATCTCCATGTTTATTTGGATTCATATAATGTGAATGACATTCAACTGATTTGCTGTCAAGCTGATGCAAGTACCCTGTGGCTTGTCCCTGATTTGGTCCAGAGACGGTTTATCCAGTCTCTAAATAGCAGCATGGACATGAGATTCTCTTGGGTTCTTACAAGAGACAGGCCAAAAGGCAAGGAAACCGTGAAATATGAAAGAAGTGTTGATCCATCAGATCTTCCTGAGCCATCAGAAGTTGAACTGGTTCTGAATGGTTCCATTAGCAGCTTTAGGGTTCATAATATTCTTCCAAGGTATTTCCGTGTTACTGGTTCTGGAGAAGTTAGGGCATTCGAGCAAGCGGTATGTTTCTGAATCTTCTAAATTTTACTGTTCTCTTCTTTTCTGGTAAAAGAAGTTTATTCATGCTGTAGCGATACATATTACCACGTTAAGTTTGGATCAATTTAAGTGCGGGTGTCAAGTGTCTTATGTTACGCAGTTATGCTTTCAGCTTATAAAAACGATGAATTTCGTACTATCTTTCCCTGGGGACCAACAAATGGGCTCTAAAAGGTTTTTGGTTAAAGTTTCGCCTATACAGAAAGCCGGGTAAAGGTTGCTAAAGCAGAGTTAAGGGGAATAAATACTCCACATTACCTGTCAAAAGACTTTAGCTCATAGGCCAATTAGAACAATGTAGGTTATGTTCATGCTGTTTTCTCTTGTGGAACCATAGAAGGAATTCTATCGCTACTCATCATTATCTTTGTTTATGCATCAATGACTATGATGTATTCACTGTGGTTTCGGCATTATGGCAAACCCGTGTCAATATATATTTGAAGGTTTAGCCAAAACGGGGACAATTCCTGGTAAATGCTTCAATTTGGTCTGGCAGTAATATTTGGACAGGAATGGAAAGTGTATGATATTTAAAGACAAGTCGGGCATATATTGCGGTTATCGGGTCTTCAGTTACTTTTCTTAAAATTTGAAAGTCAGCCAGTGGATTCTGAATTTAATACCGCAAAAAATAAGCATTTTCAGAGTTTCTTAGATATTGGAGAAATATTTATGAAATCCAAACAACTCTTTTAAGAGCTTACCGAAGTTTCCAGTTTGACCAACAAAATATCAAAAGATGTTCTCACTTCATTTGCTAACATCTCCCTATCACCTTCCTAATTTCTACAGTTACTACTTTCCCCTTCCCTAGCTTCTTTTTACTAATGAGCTTCGTCCCCACCTCTCTCTACCCAATAAATCCCCTCTAATCACCCCCCCCCCCCCCCCCCCCCCCCCCCCACAAATCTCCTGCCTCGACTAATCCACGACATCTTCCGTCATCACCACCATTCCCTTGTCCACCACCTTAGCTTCCATCCCTCCTTTCTGTACGTCACCTAATCCTTCTAGATTTTCCTTAGCCCCTTGTGGGCGGGGTTGCATATGTCTTGCATTTTATGTGTATGTACCATATGTGATGGTTCAATAAATTGGTATGCGCTCAACCACACACAAAATAATTTTACACGTAAATCCTAAACTTTTCCCAATTTTTTAACGACACATTCTCCAAAAAAATTACTATTCCAAAATACATTTCCCCCAAAAAATGGGTCTCAAACTTTTCCCAATTTTTTAATAGAATGATCTCATTCCAGAAGAATAGACATTGTTTTGAGGTGTCCCAATATTGAAGAGAAGCATTTAACATGAAATTCTGAAGTGATCCTCGAGAAATGCGCAATATGTCATCAAAGTTTACTTTTATGTATTCTTTCTAAATAAAATGTAACTGTGAATAGCTAAGAAGTCAACTGCCTGTAATCTACAGGCAAATGATGTCAGTGCGGACCTGGTTTTACACCATGAGGGTTCTGGATGGTGGTCGTTCTACGATATCAATTCTTTTCCTGTCAATGGCTGCGAATCATTCTCCGGTCCCATGGCTATATTTGTGTCGGAGGAAACCCCTCGTAAGTATCTAGTAAAAAAAACTTCTTTTCTATTATTTGGATGAGACATTGAATCAAGAATACTAGTTTTAAGTTATTAATTCACGAAAACCATTCCAGAAGGATTTCTTGGTGAGACTCTCAGCAAATTCAGCATTTGGGGTCTCTACATCACATTTGTACTAGCAGTTGGCAGGTTTATCAGACTGCAGTGTTCTGACTTACGAATGAGAATACCATATGAGAATCTTCCTACGTGTGACAGGTAATGCTGATTTCCTGAACCATTTAATTTTTTTGTATAATAAATGGAAGTGTGCAGTACTGGTATCTGTGTTCATTAAGTGGGATCAGTCGATGTTGGCCTCTGGATTTTTGAACTTCGACTTTAGCATTAATAAAATATTGCATGCTCAAAGACTTCCTCTGATAAACTTATTGTTCAAGTGCTTTTTCAATTTTTTTACCCACTCTATTTCAGGCTAAATGCACCTTTGTTTTAAGTATGGATAGTCCCATTAAATATGAAACCTTTCTTACTCTGAGAATATGCTCCATAAATTTTTTTTATTGACAAATAACAAGGAAAGGTGGAGCAAATTGTTTTCTAAGCAATTGATCATGATTTATTTCTTCGAATTAGCAGCATCATTGTCTAAATATCCTCATTTGGGGAAATAAAAGCACTGGGGGACCGTGTTCAGTAGGAGAGATGCAGGACTAAAATTGGAGGAGACTGAAAATGGGACCCCTGCCACAAGTTTCTTTTCAAGTTTGAATACGATTGCTTCCTCTCAAACAACTTAAACTTTTAGATGAAGTGATAAAAAATAGTAGGTGCTTGGCCTTTGAAGTAAAAATGAATACAACCTACATGCAAAAGGGCACTCTCAAAGATGACTACTTAACCTGTTAGATAAGGTGGCCATTCATAAGATAAGCAAGAAAACTGTTGTGTCTATTTGGCATTAATGTGTTGATCTCAATGTCCTTGGATGAGACTGGTTAGAAGTCCAAAGTATTCAACATAGAACTCGTTTGGTTGAGCTTAAAAATATACTTAAAATTAATTTTACTTATTTAATTCAAAAGTAGGATTACTTTGTATGGACATCTGTGTGTAAATTGTAAATAGTTTTGTTTTCGTATAAATTTAGGTTAAGTCATTGTTTGTTTTAGATAAAAATCAGATTTTTAGTAGGTTTCGATAAAAGTTGATGGAATGTATCGTTAAAAAGTCTTGGATCCCATGAAACATGTATTTAAATTAATTATTGACTTTGATTTAGATTTTAATGCACTTTTCTAGCTGAACCAAACATGGGCCAATATATTAAATTGGATTTGATAATTTATTATATTAAGAAGTTAGTTTTTAATAATAAATTTTAAATATTATAAAATTTGATATTTAATATACGATTTGAGTGCTATTTTTTACTTTTAAATTATATTTTTTTGGAATAGAAACGAATTTAAATATCTTTTGATTTATTTAAAACTATATTGATTAAATAACATTTTATTGTTTTTATTTCATAAACTAATGGAGTTCTCAATCCCATTTAATTCAAATTGTCTCTTGAAACATTCTAACATAATTAAACCGACAAATATGTTTAAAACAAAAATAGTAACTTTTTAAGTTTGACTTACATGCTTATCATATGCTTGTCTTATGACTATAAATTGTTAAAAAACTCAAGCTACTTACCTACACATTTAGAAGGAACCATGAGTACAACCCACTTACCCACCATTAGTTTCTATTTATTTATAATTTAAAAGTTTAAAATACTTCCCAAACTTGCTTTGAGACTATCGTAGCTCTGTTTAATTGTTTGTCAGAGGATAGTTCTCTTTAATTGTTATTCAGAGGAACAGAGTAAAAAGGAGCAAAATGGACAAGAAGCCCTTACATTTCTTGAGTTGTATCAATTCACTCTCTAGAGTTTGCTTGCTTCACATGCCAAATGTATTATAATGCTTAAAGGGCTATAATTAATGTGTGTGTGTGTACTTATTAGTGTTACCGTGATATTGTTCCTTTCTGGCTGTTCTCCTCTCAAGGATAGAGATAACTAAAGAATGTAGAAAGATCTTCGAGAAACATTTTAGCAGGATAAGAGGAAGGAGATACTATTTAAGTTTATGCTTTTGTATTTTTTGGTTCTTAGCTTATCCTTGATATTATTCTTTATGGTACTTACTGTTGGATGTATAGGAAGTCTTCCTCTAATATAAATGTATAGGGTGAGCCTCCATTATGTGCATCATAGTAGATAGAAAATGGAAAGACACAAGTCCAAAACATATAGTAATTCTCTCCTTCAGCGACACATGGTGTAACAGCTCTCACATTGAGGGTGAAACACATGATATCGTGTATTATCCTTGATTTCACTTTTTCTTTCTGTGTTATTAGTGGCTCTGGTAATACGGATTATTCGTTTAATCTATAACGCTTACTACTATTTAGGTTGACAGGTCTTAGGACAAGAGGATTCCTCTTCTTACAGTGAGTGAGTTGAAATTGAGTACTTGTGTGCAAGTATACTACCGGAATAATGTGCATGAATACTGTATTCCCAAGTCTGACATTCATATTCACACGTGCAACTTTTTCTCACAAATATTTCAATGGTAGCCAAAGGATTTTGTTATTACCACAAAATCCAAAATAAATTTACATTTCAGCTGCAAACGTATCCAAGCGATGTAATTTTTATTGCATTTTGATGGCATTTTTTTGTAGAGGATTTGGTAGTAGTGGACAGTATTAAGAAAGAAAAAGAAGATAAAATTTTGTGTGTACAACATAGGTTAAAAGTATAGCAAGTTGTTACAGCAAATACAACCAGTTAATTTTTATACGATCTTAAAGGCGTTTTGATTTCATTTCTCCAGGTTGATAGCCATCTGCGAGGATATATATGCTGCAAGAGCAGAAGGTGAGCTTGGAGTTGAAGAGGTCCTTTACTGGACATTGGTGAAGATATACAGATCGCCACATATGTTGCTCGAGTACACCAATCCCGACTAGTCTCGTTAAATAGAAGCCCTTCTTGCATGGATGGACAAATTGCTGACAATAGGATCGACTAACATCCATCTGAAGATAGAGATATACTAACAGTGTTCTATCGGTTTTTCACTCCTGTAGTTTTCAGTGAGAAGCCTCTCGGCTTGTATTTTTTCTATGTCAAGAAGTATCTCTAAAGCAAGTATGGACGTCTGTTGGAATTTATTTATTTCCGATTGCATTTTTGAGGCACTGGAAATGTGTAAATATCATCTGAGAGAATACTGCATACAGCCTTCTGATGCAAAGTGTAAAAAGATGCTAATCTCCTAAGTCTCTTGTTCATTTTCACTTACAAAACTTGAGAGTGGTGGTAACCATATCCATATGTAGATGGAGTTGAAAATTCTCCGATATCAATTGAAGCATAACAATTTTTATTTTTATTAGTTTTGCGCGTTAAAAATGCAAGGTTTAGATCAATAGCTTCAGCATCTCAAATGGGAATTGGAACCTATTTCTTGCGTACATGTCGTAGTGTGTGTGTGATTCCCCTCCCCCGCGGACCCCCCGTTGACAAGGAAAAGCAGCCAATTGCATATTGCCACGGACATGTGAAACAACAAAGAGGGAAATACAATCTGTTCAGAGGATATAGGAGGGGGAGAAAGGGGAGTTCGAAGGAAGCTTTGAGTTCATACTGGTCATTGGTTGAGGCTTGGGCTACTTCATTCCTATTTCCTAGGGATAGACATGTATCACAACTAACCATTACAAGAAGCTTTGAAACATCATTAAAGATTGAGGCTGTCGGGGATAATTCATCAGGTGAGACTAGATTTTGGACTGCCCTCGACTCATCTTCTGCAATGGGATGGGATAAATTTTTATGGAGTCAATTGGCCCGAATAAATACCGTAATGTTTCCACATTCCGAACACCATTATGTGCGAAAGCTCCTCCACCAGCACGATATCATCCCAGCGAAGTGTGTAAGGCCGAAAGCAATGATCCCCGGGCAGCCATGAAGAGTCCGCTTTATCAGTGGCCTCAATGATGTACAAGGAAGAGAAATATTTAGATGGTAGACCCACGTACGTGTCAAGGGGGAGATTAAGATTCCAGCCACAGATTGCCAGCGATCCGGTTCCTCAAGTCATGTCCGACATTTGGGCTGAAAGCGATCGAGGTTTTATGCGTATTCCCACATTGGCCTGATGCTTGTCCGTATCAATACAATATACTCATAATAATGTATGCATCAGCTTCCATGGCCCGGGTAAAGATGAGAGAATCATCTGTCGAAACAGGTGATTCACCCTGTTTTCATGATATTATGCATAGATAAGGTAGATCAAGGCGAATTCTTGTTCTTGACAATGAAATTTTTTTCCAATGAATTTAGCTCAATTTTTCTGAAGCTGAGAATAACTATCAATCATCCAGCTTACACTGACAGGGTTTTTCCATGTGTATGTTGTTGATTTTATATTCCACAGGCGTACGGATCGTAACAAGTAGTAAAGTGGACATTTTGAATCCGGATTATCGTTTCCCACGAGGACTATACTTTAATGCTTTTATTATTTCTAACTTCTATTTGATGAAAATAAATAAGAACAATGATTGGTTATGATTTTAAATCTAACTACCTACAATATGTGGATATACACAAAGAATGATTAAGAATTCAAATAATAAATGAATATTAGAGCGGAACGATTTTACCAATTGATCACCTTTAAGTCTTAAATCAAGATTAATAAAATCTAAGGTATTGTTCGGCCGAATTTTCCTATTGTATTCAATTTATCCTTCTCGAGTTCACATTGAGCCTATTTAACCACTTCAATTCCACATTTTTATGCGAATCAAACTTAGTTAAACGAAATAATAGTTCTAAGAATTCATTTATGACCGTAGTAATTAATATATGTATCCTACACGTTATATTAATTTACCGAATTTTAATATGCGGTCTAAACAAAGAATCCACATCTCTACGTAATTATTGTTCACAAAATCATTGAATAATTGGCCAGAAAATTCAAAGCATTGAGAACATGATTAAAACTCACACATAATCATAACGAACAAGAATTTCAAATAAAAGAAATAAAGAATCCTTAATAGGTACATTGTTCGCCCTAAAATTAAATTTAACTACTCATAGTAATGAAAGAAAATCAAGAAATTATTATGGAAGATATCATCGGGTTTAGAATAAGAAATCAATCTTGTACCAAGATCTTCTTTCCCTTCCAATTTATGCTTCAACCCTCGAATTGATTTTTTTCCCTCTTGAATTCTTCTCTTTAATCTCAAAGCGTGTCTCTTGCATGTCAATGTGTGAATCCCTTTCAAAAGTGTGAGAAATTTGTATTTATAGGTGCCCTCACATTTGTGTAGAAAGTAGAGTTTTTATGGACTTCAAAACGGGCCAAAAATGCGCCCTAGATGCACCCAGTCGGCGCCTCGTTGCTTTGATGTGAGCCACCTTTCGGACAGACAGCATCTCTTTTAACATTTTTATCATAACTTTTTCTTTCGATGTTCGATTGAGGCGATTCAAGATGCGTTGGAAAGCTAACTCAAAGAGATACAACTATGCTTCAAATATCATTTTCAAATTCGATTATTTTCTGTCAAAACCGTGTCTCAATGTGAGGCTGAAAACGGTGCATAACTTTCTTTCTTTTTTTCCTGATTTGAACTTGATGTGTGATCTTACTTTAATTATATTTAATCCTTTTGACCTTTTTCTTTATCCAATTGACTCCGAGGACTCTTGAATCTTCATCATGAGGTCTGACACAACTTTTGAGCATTTGCATTTTAGTTCTCGAACTTTGGATCTCTTACAACTTATGCATTTTCTCCAATTTTGCCCACTTGTGCTTCTTCTAATTTCTTGTACCATCATTGAATTTTATCTATTCAACACCAAATACAACAATTTAGACCATAGTTTATTCGAAAAGCAACTAAATATCATCATTTTAAAGTCTTGAATAGTGTATAAAGTACACTTATCAGTGTACAAAGATGCTTCTTAAATGTGAAAACTTGGAAAAAAAAAAACTATTTTTCTTGCACGTACATACGCAAATGTCTATCGTTGCCGAGCCCAAATTTATTAGACACGAGCTTTGTTATCGTATACTCCCAACACACTAACAAAGGAAGATGTGATATGGGTTTGGTTCATAAATCATCTCATTGCATGGCACTTTTCTATGTGATAATCAAACAAATTGGTGGTATTCATGAATGATGCACTCTTGCGTGATTATACATTCTTCATGTTTATCAACAGTAATTACATTATTGGCTACTTGTGTGCAAATATCCCTGGATTAGTTATATTTCTAATTATCGAAAAATATGTTATATGGAACTTGAAACCTTAATTTATTTATTTATTTATTTTTAACTGCTACTAAGAAACAAATTTTAAAGAATCAAAACTGACCAGCCCTTCTCGAAAAGCTATGGCTTATACATCTTTCGCCATTGGAGAGTTCAAATATTTCAAGAGAGCAACTCTTCACACCCTTGTGGTCTGTACTATCTGTGCCACATCCAACAATCCCAGTGTGTTTGATGAGCATGTCGATTATTGTTTTATTTTCTTCTTTTTATTGTGCAAAAGAAATATTACAATTGCTAAATACATACATAAATTTGGTTCTTCACACACAACGAACAAGTGAACCTACTTAAAATCTTTGCTGAACTCTATCATATTAGCAAATTGTTTCGCGCGGGTTCGTCGCTAACAATTAAAAAGGGATCAGACGATTGTGTAAGGGACAAACCTCTTGAGACAAAGTCTCAAAAAGGGGTGTTCTTTATTGGCGATGTCTTTACAATCGGAAAGTAAAAACAGAATGCCTCTAAGGGGCGCAAGCACACGAGTTACTGAAAGAAGTGTTTAAATTTAAACTAAGAAATTTAAAATTACAGGTTTTCTGTTCGAGAGTTTTTTGATTCGGGGTCCTTTTGCTCTATGTCTTTTCTTCCTTTTATACTCCCTGGATGATCTCTTTGTGATCAACCGCCTAAAAACTGCTTGATCGTTCTATAACTGCCTACTTTCCTCGTAATGGCCAACTTGTCATGGAACTTCCTTTTTTAACTGCTGCCATTACTCTTCGTCGTTCAACCGTTTTCGATTGAATTCCTTGAATCGTGGAACATGATAGGGCTGCTTAATAACTGCGCTTCTTGATAACCACAACACTTCATGTTTGCTAAGACCTTGGGCGACTTGAAGGTTTGGGCGAGAATAGAGTAGCAGTTCTGTGCGACTGCATGGCACTCCATTCGCTTAGATCCTGGGCGATTTGCAAGCTTGGGCGATGGTGTTACCGCGTTCCTGGGCTTCCTTATTTGGGCCTTTATCTTGAATTGTCTGATTGGGCTTCATTATTTGGGCTATCTGATTTGGGGATACTCCCATTGGGCTTCATTCCTTGGGCCGTTCGATTTGGGCCGAATTTTTATGTGTTAACAATTACCCCCCAATATGGCAGAATTAATACCAATTATTAAATTTTGCCATATTCACCTTTGTGTTTCCAGCAACATTTGAAATTCCCAAGAATTTCAATAATTGTTTTCTTTCATAACTTTGAAAAGGTGCGACATTTTGCAAACCCTTATAACCCCCAAATACGCCATTTCACTGCAATTAAATCACGGCTCACTTTTTCGCGTTTCTCTCCCACAATTTACTGTTCATTTCTTTGCTTCCCTACTACGTAACTCTGAAAAACTCCATTTCGCCCCTAATGGCTACTTCACAATCTCAATTTGGAGACTCCTTTAGTTTTGATGACTTTCAGAAACTCCTTAATCGTCCATACATAACTCCGAACTTTCTCGCATCCGCCAATGTCGAACTCAATGAGTTCTACCTAGGTCCTTTCTTCAACAATGCAGAGGCAGTCGAACAAGCGACGGTGGGCCAGCTGTTTCCTTGTACTCAAGGCCCTCCATTTCTAAACTCTCTGCCGCTGGGGCCACTTCGCGAAAGAGGTATTCGCACTTGGCCTAAATCTGACGTAATTTTCCGTAGGTGGCATGCTCGCCTTATGGACCATGGTCCTACTAAGACGCTTTTTAATAATGCTAGGATTTCTGATTTGCTAGAAATCTCTCTTCAAACCCCTACTTTTGATTCAGCACTTTTTTCGATCGCTTTAAGTTTTTGGTCTTCTGAATATAATACCTTTGTTTTCCCTCTTGGCCCCATGTCTATTACTTTAAGGGATGTTGGGGCCCTAGTAAATCCGCCACCTTTGGGCGATACCATTTTCCCTAGTATTTTGATTTCTGGTGTCGCACCAAAATTTGAAAGAAAACTCACCGAGTCTTATTCAAACCTGCAAACCTATCATAACCACTCAAGCGCTGAGCCTTCCCATGCTGAGCGTGTGGCCTT